AGCCAAGACACATGGAGCATTACATCCGGGACTCCGCTATTACCTCTCATGCCTACTGATAGCACACTCAGTGCAGAGGAAGGAGAGCAGTGTCAAATCAACACATATCACTACTTCAATCAGAAACCCTGTTAACACTACCTTCCCCGAAAATCATTTCAGGGAGATAAAGTGGGATGACTGCAGATACATTTTTTTTTTTTAAATCTCTTTTCAAAGCTATATAGAAATGGAATTCACTTCTAGAAGCCATCACAGACTTTGATTTGTTGAATGTGAATACAGATTTTAGTTCAAGTTTTTGCAAACTTTGGTGTGCACCTCATCCAAAAAACCTAGCATCTTCGAAAGTGTTTTTAAATGTTGCAACTGCATTGGGAAAAGGGAAGGATGCAGCATTACATCAGCCATGGTGCTGAGTATTTGCATGGGTTGAGTTACTTACAAGACATAATATAACTGTTGAGAGCAGAGATGGAGAACTATAATTCATTTACTTTTTACGTACCTTCAATTGGAAAAAACACCGTTATTCTCAACTAAGGATGAAATACCCTGCCAATTAAAGTCTGACACACTGGCAATTGTAGGACATGCTTTGATTTCAGAAATGTTACCGTGAGAAAAAATGTGCAGCTCAGAACTTAGACTGTAAGATTAAATCACTGGGACCATTATAATCCCACATTTAGTGCAAAAGTTCTGATCATAAGCCTTAGTGTGGAGAAACTGCCAACCTTGAATTTGTTCTTCCTTTGGACAGCCTCTTTTCTTCAGAATTCATAGTTGGGATTGGGAGCAACCTAAATACTTGCTAAGTACTTCTTGTGATACCTTCCTAAGAGGTTTTCTCGACTGAGTTGCCAGATCACATACAGAAAGCCCAGTTCCAACTGAGTATCAGTTAAACAGCACATTTCCAGTCTATGTATGCCCCAAACAATGCACGAGATACACTAAAATTAACTGAGTGTCACCTTGTATTTTTATGTGCTAACACTGGCAAGCCTGCTCCCATGGTAGTTCTGACTGCCTCTGACCATCACCACATACTTTTCCTCTTAATGAGGCCCCATTAATACCTAATTCACTCCTTACAACAACCCTGAGAGCAACTATTGCAGGCCATTTTAGAGTGGAAGAAGTGAAGTTTCCTCTGCAGTCTTGGCTGTCTCATTAGATTAATTGCTGTTGCCCTGAATTCTGATCACAGCTTTTAGTCCTCTTACAGAGTAGCTAGGGTCCAAAAGATACAGATCACTAGGAAACCATGAAATAGGGGGCTTTTAATCCTGGATACATCATCTACGGGTTGGTCATTGTTATGGCATGTCTATGCAGTCTAATGAACACTAAGTTATTTAATGCCAGATGCAACCTTGCTCATAAACCTTTAACACTTCTTTCTAGTAGAGGGAAACTGAGGCGCAGAGTGGTTAAAGAGGTTGCCCTTCTCATGTTAAAGACTAGGCCTAGCCTCTTCTGGGATAGCTCTTGTTGGATGTTCCTTATTAGTCATTCTTGTGAAAGTAACTAGGCAGCCTCTTCGCAGCATCCTATCCACTAGATAATGCCCCTGTAACCACTGCATGTCTACTTGCTATCTATGTGTCCCCAGAGGACAGTTAAAGAGAGCTGCTTGGTTCTGTGCTCTAGAGCCAGGGGAGAGAGCTGTTCAAAGTCAGCCTTTCCCTGTGGGGACAGCTGGAAGTGATTCTGGAAGGTTCACCTGAAATAAAACTCCCCCGCTAAATTCTCCCCATGGAAAAGTGTCTTTTGACTAAGCCACTGTTAAAATCATTAAGGCTTATCTCTGCTAGCCAGGGAAGTGGCTTTCGCAACCATGGTTCTTGGATTGCCTTGGAGCAGCAGAAGTTGACTCCAAACCACAGTATGTTCAACTTCTAAGTCACCTGCGTGGTCCCTGTGGGACACAAGTCTCCCAACCAGAGCTTTGTCCAGAGTGGCAATTCCTGCAAGAGTAAAAGCCCATTCAAAAGCTCCTGCAGTAGATCAGCATCTTGGTGTTGCTAGGACAGGTCTTGTGGCCAAGACACGCCCGTAACAGAGTGGGAATAAAAGCAGCAGTTCTGGGGCCCTCCCTGGTGGCGCAGCGGGTTAAAGCACTGCACTGAGAAACTAAAGCCACTTCCGCATGAGTTCGATCCCCGCCTGCCCCGGAGGTGACCACATGGCGTGGCAGACCTCTCCTGACCCGCCCGCTGCTCCCCTTAGCAGTGTACCTCATAGATCTGCCTGTTCTGCTTCCCGCTCTGTCTCTGGTGAATCCTCTCACCCTCCGCATCTCTGGCCTGTACCCCAGTTCTGTATGAATAAATAAATAAATCTAAAAAAAAAAAAAAAAGCAGCAGTTCTGGAGCAGCTGTTTGCTCCAGTTTGCAAAAACTAGCCCTGTTGATGTTGCTAGGGTACAGACAGTGGACTAAGGCAAGAGCATTATTTCCGTATGCGTATGAGCTCCATCCAAACACATAAGTGTGTATGCAATTCTCCCAAATGCAGTGCTTCTCAGCAGTAAGTGCACCTTACAATTTTCTGATAAGTCTGAAAACATCTCCAAACCTACGCTGCTCTCAGACCTATTAAATCCCCATCCCTGGGGTGGACTCAGTTATTAGTAATTTTTAGTGATTCTAGTGGATAGCCAGGATTGAGCTTGGCTGTTCCAAAGAAAACCACATGCTTCCTTCTGGGGCTTTTAAGAGGGAAACCTCTCCATTTTAAAAACCATGTACAACAGAACTTTGCAAATATGATTAGTTCTTGTTTTCTTTATTTCCTATTTCCCCTAAACAACTTCTAAGCATTGGCACAACGTCGCCATCTGTAAGGCATATGACAATAACAGACGGTCGCCTAATAACCGGGAGGCATTGCCGTTTGCAGGCTCTAAATGATTTGGATTCATCTGGTATGAACCACATGGCTGAGGCCACTTTCTGCTTGACTTCTGTGGCTTGCAATGGCAGTACCAGAAGTGGGAAGGCCATATTTTCTGGGGTTTGTATTCTTTGTCATCTTATTGAATTGCTACAAGATGGATTTATAACAGACCTACAGCTAGTATCAAAATGAAAATTAGGTCTTCAGTAGAAAAATAGCAATCCCATTTGACTCGCCTGTAGCAAGTACGTCATGTCTGCCTCTGCAAGGAAGGAAATGACTTCTTAATGTGGTTTTCTCCCACTAAGGAGAGTTAAATCTATGTGGCAAAATGTAAAACTAGCGTGCTGGCAGCTGAATTCTGAGCAGAAGATCCATGACCCTCATAAACATATTTGTGGCTCAGTTATATGTTAATGAACTTCATTTAGACGCAAACTTACCCCAGTAGAAATATAGCTCTGCTGGAGAGGAAGGCTGTTGTTCCCTCACTGTTTTGCCTCCTGTATCAGAGTTAGCTCTGGCACAATGGGGAAATTTCTCCATCTGCTACAAGCTGCCAGGCTGGGAGTCTCCGGGTTAGATTTAGGGTGGTTTTTTCGCCTGAGATCGCAAATGCCACTATTTGAGTTGATAAATGTTTTAGCTGAGCCAGCAAGATTTCTTTTCAAAGCCTCCAAAGTTCCAGTGACTGAGTCTGGGAGCAGGAACACTGTCCAGTGTTCATAGAATTTAATGTAGTTCCCCTCCAATAGATGAGAAGGGAAAACTTGTTGGGAAAAACTCGCCTGGTAATTTTTGACAAGCAAATGAACTGCTCTGGCCTCAAATTCGTCCTTCAGAAGAGGGGGCTAAGTATTGGTAGCCCCTGACTTATGTAGTGCTTCTTCTAAGGATCAATGAAAAATGCACCATTAGATAATATACAATAAAGACACTGTCCTTTGCCTCACAAATAGTAGTCATTATACATGTTACTAAATACTATGCTGCCAACCCCTCTGATGACTTAACCTAAAATACTACACTGGCATCCTGTGGAGAATTTAGACTTCTAGTGCCTTTGTTTATATTTATTTTATTTATTTATGCATAGGAGAGGTGGGATATAGGCCAGATGTGTGAGAGGATTCACCAGTGTCAGAGTGGGGAACAGAACAGGTAGATCTACTGAAATACACTGCTGAGGGATCAGTTGGGTGAGACAGGTGGTCCCTGGCCAGGGACTTCAGTAGTGCCAATAATGTCATAGTGCTGAGACTTAACCCCTTGAGTCACCACAGAGGCACTATACGTCTAATATTTTAGAAGGTACACAGCCTTACACAGGAATACCAAATTCAGTTAATAAAACTGAATTGCAATAGGAGATTAAAAAAGAAATGAAGACAACTTCTGAGAACATCGTCTCTCAGACAGAATTGATGTTCATTCTCTATGTAAATCTGAGACAAGATTTTTTTTCTAGTAAGTATGAGAATCTAAAGAGTTTTAAGGTGATTCAACTGACTAAATTTTTTGATAAGTTACTTCCTCATTTAATTTCTTTTACTATTTATCTGTATGGAGACTCTTGATTAATACACTTCTTCAGTACTCAAGGCTCTTGCATTATTACCGTTAGCTTGCTTTGGCTATTTGAATGCATGAAACAAAACTGCTTAGAGCTCATATAAGAGAGACCAAGACAAAGACGATATAGAAAACTCACAGGCCAGCTTAGGGGAATATGCATGTACAGGAACAAACTCAGTCTGTAAAGCAAAATGAATGAGGCATGCCAGGTATAATATGGTTAGCATATGTGTGTGTTTGGGGTGGGGGGCAGGAGCATGGGGATTGGTCGTGCCAAAACTCCCCCAAATCTTTGAACCCCAGTCTCAGCAAACAGGCCACAGTGTGGCTTCATATGATTATGTCATGATAGAAATTGGGGACGTTTCATGTAAAAAAGAATTTCCATTTTTAAATTTTGGCAACTAATTCAATTAAAAGACACACCTCGGTCTCTCATTTGTGACTTCTGCTTGGCAAATACTTGCTCAAGGAAATTCCAAAGACGCATGAGTGAACCTATTCCATTTTTCTCTCCAAAGCTCCAGAAACATGACAAAGAGGAGGAGGACTCCCCAGCCTCATGGAGATCGGAGGAGGAGATGGCGGCAGAAGCAGCAGCACTGCGGGGCTACTTTCAGTGATCCAGGTAAGAAGCGCTGAGGCTGCCCAAGGGGCCTCAGGGAAGGGGCGCTCTGCCCACAGGGGAACACCGAAAAGCAGCTGCGCAAGCCACGAAAGCTTATAGAAACCCTGACACCTGCAGCATCCATTCCAAGCCGGGGCTGGCCTCCTTGCTCCTGCAGGACTCGTCTAGTTAGTTCTTTCCCGGGCCTGGTCAACAACATCCGTTTAGCTTCTCCCCCCATTGCTGCCTCTCTCCAATTCAGTTCTAGGAACAGCCCAAGGTAATTTATAACTCAAATGTGATCGTTTAAAAGATCAAAACACTTTGAGGGGGTGACACTGGCCTCAGGCTCAAGGCCTTTTTTTTTTTTTTTTTTTTTTCCAACTGCGCTTCTTATTCCCTGCTGCCTTTTGGTAAATTGCTTGTTTGCGTTTTTTTCCTTGGCTGCTAAGAAGCTCAGACCACCAGGAAAGGTAAGGAGTGATTGAATTCGCTTTTCGTTAATTACACTTAGCTGTTGGAACATCATAGAGTGAAGAATCTGGTAGAAAATTGTACAATCTCCTTGGCAAATGCATCTACAAAGCAAATCATACTATCTGTAAGGGGCTCATGGATCTTCTAAAACTGTTTAATAGTGTAGCTATGAATTATTATATCTATTTGTTGCTTATATTTTATCTGGGAACCCTATTAATAAACTTCCTTTGTGATTATAGTACCCAGAAAAGAACCTCTCCTCTAAGACATCTTAATTATTTTTAAAATTATGTGCTTCATCTGGTGTTGTGTATAATGTGCTTATATTATAAGCTGCTAACATAGATCAGATACAAATTAAAAACACAATTAGTGCACAATTACTGGTAGCAATTGAATTATAGAAAATTGTATCAACCACTTAGTGGTATTTTTAGTGTTTAAAATATTTGTGCATTTCTTGGCCTTTTTCCCTCTCACTTCCTTTGTAAAGTAGTGTAATTACTTAAAGATCCAGTATCAACTCTCTCTCAACTGTGGTTCAAGCATGCCATGCTCAGGCCTATCACTCTAGAAAGCTCATTTCATTCATGTCATTGGTTTTCAGCTCTGCATTCAGTTGCCTGAGGGATGTAGTGTGACACTGACACAAGCTATTTTCCTATTTAAATGTTCTACTGTTCACCTTTTTTTTTTTTTTGAAAGGATCAAATTGTTTACCTAAGAACAGGCCTACTGGCATGATCACAAACCTCTTTCTGTTTCCCTTCTAAAAATCAGTGTGTCATTCTAAAAGGTCCCATTTCAATGGGCCATCGTTTTTTATACTCTTAGGCTAAATTTTTTCCTCCCTGGGTTGCTTCTGTAACAGGTACTTTTAAGTAGAAGTCAAGAAAGCTCTCGGCTTTCCTGAGGCTTACTGAAATACAGGCTTCTATCTTAGTATATGCATTCTTTAAAGGCTTTAAAAGTTTTATCCATATTTCCTGTATGTCATACTTTGTCAGTTTTTGATTCTCACTTGTCTTTAGGCTTAACATCTCCCACCTTTCAGGATAATCAACTTGCCTTGTAAGTCTTGCCAGAAAAATATTCACTCTAACTTACTATACAAACTACTGTCACTGTGCCTATATGTTTTAAAAATAGCATTTGTATCACTTTAAGGGTCCTTGTTTACAGAATAAACAAATCACCTTCAGTTTTCCCAGTAGTTAGAGGTAGGAATCAAGGTCAGAAATGGATAATGGAGTTGCCCAGGAACACTGTAACTGAGAGAGGAAAGATTTAAACTTTAAAGATTTAAAGTTATACAAAGAGCATCAGCATTTCCTGCAGTCTAATGGGACTAAATTTATTTCCCTTTAGAGATAAAGGGGAAAGGAAATACTCTTACAAAAACTGACTTATTGAGTTGATTCACCTAATTCTTAGCTACTTCCATCTCATTTCAAAATAATACCCAATGTCTATATACTGTCAGGGGTTAGTAGAACTTCTGAAATTTGTTGATCTATAGGACTTTCATGCAATATATGGATTTCACTATACTTTAAACATTGTTCATTGTTTTTCTCAAAGTTGTATGAACTTGGTCTCTCCAGTATTTTCTGATTACGCCCTCAGCAAGTCATCAGTCTTTAGGCAGAATCAGTTGAAGACTTTCAGGGTGCTCACTCCACCAGACTGGAATACTTTTCAGTGAGGACACAGGCAGATCCAATGGGGCTCAGCCTCTCAATAGCCAGCATTGCCAAGAATTTACAAGATGTGTGCCTAGCATTACCCCATCTTGCAGATGATGAGGAAGCAGACTCAGGGGTTGTTGTCCCCAAGGTAAATGCTTGGTGATGGAGCTCAGTCTAATTTCAAGACCATTGTCGTCACCCTTGCTAGGAGCTCCCTTCTCAGCTAGTACTGCTTCCCTACTCTGCTCCCCAGGAAGTCCTCCCTTTTCCCCTCCTGGTGGATGGCCTTGCCAGCTTTGTTCATGCCACCTTCCACAACACTTGCCCACCAGGTCACTTTGTACCTGGCAGTATGCCAGGAACCAAAATGGGCCTGAGTTTGCACCAGCTGACTTTGCTCTACTGGCAAGTTTTCTAGATCAAGCTGATTCTTGCCTAGGCTGCCCCGTCTCTTCTTTACAGCTTCACCATGTAGCTAAGTAATATGGCCTTGGGTAAGAACAGTGTTTCCCCAACTGCATTCATTTCCACTTAGTCATGATCTTCCCCATCTAAGTGCACCACCTAGGCTGTTGTTTACTATTTACTTAACTGACTTTATTGACTTTTACTTCGTTCATCTAAAACTTTCCATCTAAGCCTCAATGAAAAATATGTATTACTTACAATTAGAAGTTAAATATAAAAATAACTACAGAAGAAAAAACATGCTGATGAATCCCAGCGCCATATACTTGCTCACCTAGGCTATTGGGACTCTGTTTAAAAAAAAAAAAAACAGAAGTTGATCACTCTTGGAAAGACATTTAATTCTGGAACCAAACCGAGGCTTTCCATTCATTGTAATCATCTAAAATTACCTTAAACGGCCAAGTGATTCCCATCTTTGGAAAGCAGTAGCGGAGGTCAGAATTCAAGCCCACAATAAGCTGACTATTATTCTGTCGACTCCCTAAGCACATGGTCCCCATGTCTTTTAATAGGAATGTAGATAAGGTGAGGGCAGAAGATTAAACTCAACTCCCTTGTGGTGAGAGGCCAGGAAGCCTTGCATAATACCCCACTGCCCTCCCAAATCTCTAGGATGGATAGATATATTTAAATCACCTTTGTTCATGACCCCCCCCAGGGGGTGGGCAGCCTTGCCATTAGTCTATTAACAGCTCCCACTGCAGAGAAGAATGTACAGCCTAGACCCATCGAGGCCATGTATAGGAAAAGGAACTCTAAAAGGCAATGAGCTGAATGTTCAGTGTAGAAATACCTAGCAACCCCTCAGTAAGCAGAAAGCAGATTAATCCTTAGCATGACACCGCCACAACACCACAAAGCCAAACATTCCCTGCCACCAGGGCACCAACATTAGCTTGGTTGGGTAGAATAATTCTCTTTATCTTCCCATCTAACCCTACAGGCTGTTTCAACTACTCTAACATTCTTTGCCAAGCACAAAATGTCTTTGACTCACAGTTTCTTAAGAGTGAAAAACAGGCAGTACCTTTCCCAGGCCCAGGAAAAGCCAGCAGCCCAAGGGGTGCCAAAGAAAGCAGCCATTTTCTCCCTGTCCACCTGACAGATCCTTGATAAGGCTGGCAGTCTTTGGTTCCCAGAATCAACGTCTGCCTTTTGCACTGGTTCTTTCAGTTTATTATCCAAGTCACGTTAGATGACAGTAGGTCTGCATTTCTTATCTAGCCCTTCATTCTTCCTAGAACATAATCATCCTTTATTTGGGCATTCAAATCCCAAGGATTTAAGCACTACTGCCTCTATACAACCATATTAACTTCCCTATGTAGTTTGAAAACAATTGTGTAGTGTAGTAGTCAGGGAAGATTTTATCATCTCCCTATAATTACCCTGTGTTGGAATCGAGCGGGGTGTATTACTTGAAAAATATGAAAACATCACCTGCTAGCTCCTATGAAAAGTCAGATCAGTGTAGATTTTCATACCCTGTTGTGTCAGCAAATGGTTTACTTGCTCATTCATCAAATGCTGCTCTGTGTGTGCCATTATTTTATAGATAATTGGTTGCTTCTCATTTACTCATAACAGAGTTATACAATTTCAAAGCAACTGAGTCAGCCCAAAATAGCATTACTAGTAGTTACATATATACTGTCAAGGCAAAATTTTGACACTGAAATTTTGAAAGATCATCATAATTTAAGCCATTGGACCACACTTACAATCATAGACCATCGAGATGAGTGAAAAAAGATTGGTTTGCTTATTTCACACATGTTCTGGTCAATGAATTGTACATCTTGAAATCTGCCCCACCAGCTTAGAAAAATTTTTAACCTTCTCAGATGGTCTGCTCTCAGCACAGCAGACTCTGATGAGAAATGCCCATGGAGCAGAGCTCAGTACTCTCATTCTAGAGTATACCTTCTGGATAACTCCCCTTGTTGGGATGTCATCAGTGCCAGTAAGTGTTTGCCAACACATTTCAGCCAGCCTGAACTTGATGCAATGAAAGACTTTCTTTAGCAGGGAAATAAAAGACCAGGTCCCTTGTTGAAGGCTAATGATACTTTAGTATGTGCATAAGCTCTCTGCCAGAAAAGCACCCACCATCTTAAACACAGCAAGATTTTTTTTGTTTGTTTGCTTTCTCCTTCCTTTTCAGTTCTTGTTTGTACTGGGCCATATTGCCTCTCTCTTCTCATTCTGTGTAGGTTACATGTGTGGTATCAGATGTCAGGAAATTAAAGACTTTTATTTGATTAGATAAATTTAAAATCAAATCCTTAGGGCTTACTTTGGGAATACTAAACCATAGAATCAGAGACATTAGAAATAATCAAGTCTAATGCTCCATTACATTATTTTTTCTACCTCAGTCCA